CCTCCCAGTGACTGTCCATATTTAAGCAACTGGCTCAGTATGACTGAACCACTAATGGCCCACCTGCCAAGTCTGTAGAGATTTATGGCCTCAGCTGGCCTGATGGGAACAGGTCAAAACAAAACAACCCTGACAGCCACTAATGGTCTCAGGAAAGCTACAGCAGTTTGTTCATGTGCATATGTGAATGTGATGTGAAGTGTACGTATCCCTGCAGAAAAAGGAGGAGGAGGTGGGAGTTGAGAGAAAGAACGAGAGAGACAGCCAGTGGCTAATGGCTTCCCCACAGGGCCGTCACTTCCAACTCAGAGTAAAACGTGGGAAGCCGCAGGGGAGCAGCTATTAGGAAACCTCAGACTTCTTCTTCTTCTTCTTCTTCTAACAAGCCTGGGGAAGCAGTTCTGCCTTTTCCAGCTTATGAGAAATAAAATAGTCATTGTGATGAGCATTGCAGGGGAGCGGGCGAAATGATCTGTTCATAAGTGTTGAAGCCTTCCACTCACTGTGGTCTAATGCTGCCAGTTTATCTCTGCTACACACTGACAACGTAGCAAGCAAATGGCTACGAATGAATAATGAATTCATATGAATGTTAGTATGTCAGGTTACGATGGCTTTAAAGGGGGTGGAGTTGCTTGAGATGGCATAATGACACTATTACTATTAGCTCTTCATTTTACTTGAGTGTCTTAAAAAGAGGTGTCCCTATCCAAATCAAAAAATTCATCTTATTTCAAGACACTCGATAAGTAAAGTTTATTCGTTCCTTTGGCAGTTTTTTTGTGTGTGCTTATTGTATTGATAGAGTTGTTTGTGATCTTTTGATTTTAACACTTAATATCAACAAACTTTGTGTTTGATGGTGAATCAGATATAAAAGTCAGGAGCTGTACTCCATTATATTGATTTTATGGGACTTATACTTCCTATTTTGTTGTTAAAGAGGTTATATTATACCCCTTTTCCACCTTTTCAAACAGTCCTCTGTGGTCTAAATGAAACATCTGTGCTTTGTTCAAAATATAACATGAATCAAGCACCAGAGGAGGTTTGTGACCCTGTATAAACCAGCTCTCTCAGAACGCTCCGTTTTGTTGTGTGTGTCTCTTTAAATGTAGTGAGCCCCCCTGAGTTTTCCCAGTATAGGCATCACTCCTTCGCTAGTAAGATTAAAAATGATGGATCTGCGCAGAAGTTTTGTTCTAGGCTGGGGGTGGAGTCCATGGGTGGAGATACCAGGGGAGGGGCGGGTATTTTGTATACCAGAATCCCACTGTGACATCACAAGGAGAGCATCAGACTTAAAGCTGTTTGTTTGAACCTCCTGACATTGTTCCCTCCTCTCTAGATCCTTGCGTGTGTTGTTCTTACTCTCTGAGGTTTGAATAAAAGCGCCTGATAAGTGAATTCCAGAATTGTATAGTGAGCAAGGCCTTATTTTCATCTTGAATCCAGATGTTTATTTGGACTTGTCAGATAAATACGGGTTATAATAACTTTATTGAGATAAATACACTTGGTAGGATTTGAGTTTTTGCAGTTTGCACAAAATAGTGCGTGTCTGTTTTTGACCTCAAACTTTAAGCCTTTGCATGGTTCACTTTTCAAAGTCCATTAACGTAAAATGAAAAATTCATGAGTTATAAACAACATTTGGGGATATGAAAACGGTGCATCAAACCACACTTAAATAAACGATATGAATACATCAACAGCACGGAAAGGTGAAGTTCAAAGAGCAGCGCTTTTGATTTGAATACATGAATATTCCAGCGGGGGTTCATCGTGAAAATAAATCGACATCTCGGCCAAAAAAAAGGATTTGTTTTGAGTTTTTGTCTAACCACGGCTGCATGCAAAATATAGACATTAAAAACCAAACAGATCACAATCAATAATCATCAATCTCCGTGTAGGGTGACGCACGTACACTCCCACAGATGTACCTGCAAGGAACACACACACACACACACACACACACACACACACACACACACACACACACACACACACACACACACACACACACACTTGCTCTGACTTCACTGGCACCATAAGAATGAACAGCCAGGTCTGTGAAAGCATTGAAATTCAGGTCAAGTAAGCAATCTATCTATGCATCCACTCCCTAATCAATTCACTCACTCCCTCTGTCAGTCACTCTTTACTGATTGGTCCATATGTTTATCCAACCAACGCTTCAGCAGCACAAAGGCATCAACTCTAGTGCCATGGCTTTCCATCCCTTTGTCTACTTTTACATGGGAAGTGTGCATATTTTATTGGTTTTGCAATAATATAGAAATGTTTATTAAAGGGGACATATTATGAACAATCCACTTGTACAGTGTTTCTGAACATATATTTGGGTAACCTGAGTGTCTACTGACCCACAAAATGTGAAATAAATCCATCCAGTCCTTTTGTTTGTGGTCTGCATAAGTCTTACAACACAGAGAAAAATGCTCCATACCAAATTTGCTCTCCTTGTGATGTCACAGTGGGATTCTGGTAAAAAAAAATCCCCTCCCCTGCCATGGTATCTCCACCCATGAACTCCACCCCCAGCCTAGAGCAAAACATTTGCGCAGGTCCGCCATTTTAATTCTCGCTACAGAGGAGTGATGTCTACCAGGAAAACTCAGGGGGGGCTCACTGCATTTAAAGAGACACACACACCAAAACAGTGCGTTCTGAGAGAGCTGGTTTATACAGGGTCACAAACCTCCTCTGGTGCTTGATTCATGTTATATTTTGACCAAAGCACAGCACAGATTCACAGTGTCAGACAGAAAAGACGGCCCACCGAGTCTGCTTTTAAATCATGCACCTAGATTTCTACACTTCCCCTCCGATCCTCAAGCACAGTCTCTTCTCTGCTTTCTGAGCCGGTCGGGCTGTTTGTTCCCCTCGGTGAAAGCTGACGCAGGTTAAACAGAATGAATACCTGGCAGACTTGCAGCCCCTCCAAATACTTCACTCCGTTTGCTGTCAGGCTCTCCCTCTTCAGCTTTAAATCTCTGTCCAACATGATGCGTCTGTTGTTCAGCCCGTCTATGCGCTCCCCTGTCATTTCATGAATTACTTTGAGTCCTAGCACTCACCTGGAAAGAGCACAAACGACGGCTGATTACCTAACCGCTGCCAAGTTGTTGTGTAACAATGATTCTATTTTTGTTGCATCTTTTTGTTCTCTATCTTTTGTTTCTCTGCTTTTTTTGTCAACTAAAATATGTGCTTTTAACTCTAGCTGTGACTAGTAAATTAGACGTAGAAAAATATGGAGGGATTATTTGGGGTACAGTACAGGTCGTATTAAAATGCTCTGCTCTGAATCACAGGAACACAGGATGAAGATGTAACATTTAGTTGATATGGCATATCCATTTCCTGTGTCATCATAGGAATCTGACATTTGTCGTTTCAGTGTCTGTTCCCAATGAAAACAAATAATATAAAAATATCTTTATTTATGGGCTGCATGGGCGGCCTTTGCTCAGTTTGTAGAGTTGGTCGTCTTTTAACCTGTTTGCAGGGACTGGATCCTCCAGGACATCCAGACATACAGCACAGCATGGCGGCTGCTCCTCCAGAGACATGGTCCCTCTTCCTCCTTCTGTGAAGACACGTCTCTAAAAGTAAACTGATGTTGACATATAAACATTTTCACAACCTATCACAGAGATGATCACAGAGAGCAGGTAACACCGTCTTTCTTCTTTTTTTCATTCAGCTCATAGCAGAGGCGCTGCTTGTCAACAGGCAAGGCAGGTAACTGACCAGTAGGGGGCCCCAGAGGGCTGACAAACTTTGAATGGCAGCAGCCCAAAATGTGCAAAATTTGCAATGACAGTAGGAAACCTCCCTAATGGTGCCCCATCTGACAACATTCACTACTGCTGATCGCTGGTGGGAGGGCCCCCATAATTAACTTTTGCCTAGGGCCTCGACAGACTCTAGAATCGCCTCTTGCTCATAGTCTGTGGTGTAAATGATTGTTTCTTGTTTTTAAATCCTCCTGCTTTCATAAAGACTAAACACTGCTCATTAAAACATTAATGATCGGTGTGCAGTTTAAAAAATCTAATCAAATCAGTCTCAACACCACCTGCAGCTTCTTCACAGTTAAAGAATTCAGAGAGCTAAGCTTGTCGGCTTTTAAACTGAGAATGGTGGATCAGCAGTCTCTTCAGATTCTTCATAGTCGTTCTCTTGAGGTACTCTGTCGCCCTCTACTGTCCAGAGACAGGTTGTGACTTAAAAGCAGTCCTGAAAGTTTGACTCAACCTGCAGCTGTACATGTCCCATGAGGAGCGTCTTTATTTACCTCGTTTTCATCAGTCATGCCAAAGACATCTGGTTGCTGCTGTGTTTAATGCAATTTCAGTGGAATTCAACTTTATATCATCTCAAAAACTATACAATAAAATCTGCTGACAATTAACATGACCAGAGACAGTGACTTGAAGAATAAGAATCCATTGAAAGTTTCTTGTCACTTATCACAGATTTTTCAAATTAAAATGATCAAAATCAATAAAATATCAAAGCGTCTCAATGCTATTTGAGCAGACTTTACCTTTAATTATTTAAAAAACTATACAGTAAAATCTGCTGACAATTCCCAAGTCCAGAAACAGGGACTTGGAGAATAATAATCCATTGAAAGTTTCTTTTCACCTGTCACAGATTTTATAAAAAATGAAATGAAAGTTTTTTTTTTAATATAGCCTATATTATTATTTCAGTTAAAGTTCAAATGTGCTTTATTGGCACAAACAAATCAGTGGTGTGCTTGCCAAAGCACTGTAAAAAACAATCAATACAATTAGCCTATTAGACCAACATATTTGCAACCATAGACATTTTCTCGGTATCATGCCAAAGCGTGTAATAGACACGTTGGTCCACTAGAGGATGCGTGTCAGTGTCACGCATTGCCTGTCTTCAGCGTCAAATGTACACGCCTGTGATCTGTGCCGTACCAGCAGGGGGCGATAATTTACTCAATGTCAACATCCATCACGGACAAAAGAGAAGCGTTTCAGTGTAATCCAAACCTCCTTCCTGTCAGGTAAGAGTAATTACCCGCGATTAATATTTATTATTAACTTATTATTAACCTGAGTTTGAAATATTTGAGGTTGCCTTTGACTGTTTTTCATGCTAAATACATGTCGTTTGGTGGTAGAGAGTCAAGGTTATTAACATTGAAGTAGTAACGGTAATGAAAATGCATTTAGCTGTCCAGCTAGTTTAAAGACTCTCTCTACATTAACGTTTTCTCAAATTAAACCTGATGAACTTCGGCTAATATTATATCTAGCTAAGGTTGAAGCAGTATATCCCCCAGTACTAGATAGATCAGTATTTGGACCTGTTTCTATGTAAACAGTGATCGTGTTAACCGGCGGTGTTACGGTGTGACCAGTGACCGTGTCATCTGATGGCTTACAGCCTGATGCGGCCGTGCTCTTCGCGGTAACCGCAGCTGATAAACACGAAAGGCTTCCACGCAAATGCCTCAAAATGCACTCTTTAGATACGTCTGTAAATGAATGATTTAACAAAAGAGGCTCTATCCGTTTCAGCGTCCGTTGTGAGCAGGACACCAACAGACGCGTTGGTCTGAAAGTCTCCAGTTAACGCGGTCACTGTTTGCACCGTAACACCTGTCAGCCCATTTCTGTTTTAGCTTTTTATCTTTTGTATACAAAGGGCCATTTAATAAATCCTAACTTTTGTCAGGCCTCCCTCTAACATGAAGACACGTTATAGAATTCAGCTATAATACTGTAGGTTGATGTGTTCTTGTGAGGGAAGCGTCATCTCCTGGCGACACCCTGCAATTAAATACATGGGCGTGGTTTCAGTGGAATATATGCGAAGAGGAGGGCTCTCTTTGCCTGCTGACTGGCTACCGGCTTGGAGGGTAAAATCCTGATGGCTGCCACTGTAGTAAACCATTATACTGTGATCCAGTTAAAAAAGCTGCTTCTTTACTCAAATGTATTGTATGTAGGATTCTTTATTTAGTGTGAATCTGCCTCATATAAATGTCATAGTTTGCACATTATTATTTTTTTATATTTAAAATGTTTTCCTGCAATTAACAGATGAAAGCCTTGACACAGGCCATTCAGCTCCCAGGTTGCCACGGAAAAGAAAAGGTAGGTTCATGTACTATATGTAAAGCCATACATTGGAATCAGTTAAAACATTTTGAGTCTACAGCATGAAGGCTGTATTTTCATTTTAGGTGGCTGCCTATTTGGTTTGAGTGCTTGGTTTGTGCCATTTATTTATTTATTTATATATTTTTAACATGAAACATTTACAGTTGAATGAGTATTGAGCTTAATTTCATCTGTGTTCTCTTTTTGAATGTGTGATCTGATTTTACAGCATCTTTTGGGTTTTGTTTCTACAATATGCAGAAAAAATACCACGACTCATATTTTGTAATTTTTTGTCATTTATTTCAAGGATAGTCCCTTGAGATGCATCATCTCATTTTCAAGGGGGTCCTTACAAAACACAAATTAATCATCATAATACAAAATAAAAATAAAAGGTAAATCCAAAACATAATACCAAACATTTAATCACAGAGACACCCACCAACCAGCCAGTATTACACAATCAGAAAAAATCTTAAGAGAAAAAAAAAAATATAATAATAAGAAAAAAAGAAAGGAAAACCTCTGCATATATACATGCATACACTCTATACAGTACTTACACACAGTGTACGCAACATTAAGGCACAAGGTACAGAACAGTACATACATGTAGATATGAGGTACACGAGCGCAAGCAAGAGAGCAGGTCCAGACAAACTTAAGTCCAACAGAGAAAGAAAATCAAAAGCACCTGTGTGTGTGTTCATGTTCATTAAACAGAGTGTGAAAACAGAATTTCCCCTCGCGGGATTAATCAAGTATACATTTTTATTATTATAATAATAACCTCTTATTATTGTAAAAGGGACGATTAAGTATACTTATGTGTAGTATACTACACACTCTTTACAAGCAGAGGATTATGGGTAATAAGATTTTTTTTAAATCTAACGTATTTTTTTTATTGGTGATAACGTGGACAAAAAAAACAAACCTACAAATATTTGCACATAGAAATAACAGCAAAAACAAAAACCAATAACCAAACTAACAAGAAAACAGAAACAAATAAGTCAAAACAGCGAAACATTAGAAAAGACACAACACATCAATCATACAGGCGATAGATTGAAATGAGATATGGTGACTTCTGAACTTTCTTATGTTGAGGGAAGGTAATAAATGAGATTTTTAGATCTGGTGTGAGTTGCAGTTCAATCATCAAGGTCAGAAGTCAGGTGGGAAGAAAAGAGAAAACAACCTAAGAATAAATCAAAATATATATATATGTATGAAGAAAAATGATAAAACAATCAAATTAAAGGTATAGTGTTAATGTGACCATCATAGAAACAAAGAGGAAAATATATATACCCATACATACACATAGGTATACATATACATTCATACACACTCATGCAATATTTGAGAAGAACTGAAAAAAAGGGCAGAAATCAAACTGACTGGAGTCAGTCAGAACATTTCCATAGAGAGCCACTTTGCATGAGCAGCACCATGTCCAGTGCTCTGGGAGAGTTTATAGTCCTGACAGTTGAACACTAGATGACTGACAGCCGGCCTTCATCACAACAGAAATCCTCGTCCTCATCATCTAAAACATGACGTATTAATGCACTTATTCAAATAGGATCAAAGGGGAGAAATATGTTGAATGATAAACAGTATCAAGATGAAATCAAACTCTCTATGTGATCTGTTCACGTTAGATAAACAGTTATGTCACACATCTTTTCATAGTGTCGGCACATTCTTCTAACTTATACTGAACTATTTTTTTGACAAGGTTACCAATTATCCATGGCGTTGAAAAGAGTGGAGAGCAATAGACAAGTCATCCCACAAGTAGAATTATTTAAAGGTCGAATATTCTGTATAATCCACTTCACCATGTTCCTCTAACACTAATGTGTCTCTAGTCTGTCCACAAACCCCCCAATGATGAGAAAAGTCCATTTTCCCTTCATGACATCACAAAGGGCAGTAACCCCTCCCCAGGTGGGTGACACTCCCACAGCCAGGTGTTTGTTCTGCCCTCTGAGTCTGTCTTCTCACCGTAAACAATAGGACATGGAGCGAGAAAACCCGAGACGCTTCAACACACACACACCCCGTGTTCGTCTTCCAGCCAACAATTCAGACTCTGTAGACCTGGAAGAGAGATGAAGCCCAAAAGGTGCAAATCACCCAGCCCACCGACCAACAACAAGGAACATCAATGAGATGAGCTCGTGTGTTTATTTCTATGATGGACAGACCTTTTGACGGCTTTTATTGAAGAGAACATAAAATGCTAGCTCACTCCAGTGTTGTTCAAGTTGTATAAAGTTACTTTTCCACCATTTACAGGAATAATCTGGGCTCTGAGAGCCCACACTCGGGCCCTCATGACCACTGAGTATCAAGAACGGTACCACCCCCCCTCACTGCTACAAGGCCATGGTCACAACCACCACGCAGAAACACCCGTACCATGCATTGAAGGGGACTGCTGTGGATGTGACAACCTATAGGTAAGATCCAAAGTGTTTATCTCACTAGACGCATTAATGACACACTCTGAAGATGTTCCTGTCTGGTGAGGCAGAATCATGACGCCTTGTGCTCGCTCTCGTTCTATACAAACCAAAAAATAGTGTCATTCAATTGCAACTCTCTCGTCATAACTTTGTGTTTCAGAGCTTTCTTTTTGGCCCAGAAGGCGATAAAAACTCCACCCAAGCCCCAAGAACCATCGCTGCCACCAAAAAAAACAAGAGAACTGCCAGTGCAACTGACAGTTCTTCAAACAAACAGCATACACAGTAGAGGACTACAAGACCGTGTACCAGTGAGCAGTTTGCACATCACATCAGTATCGTGCATTTTAGATCTAAAACAACAAATACATTGTATGTCATGTTCCAAATCCATTTTCACTGCTCTTGCTAGGCTAGGAATGCATCTCCAACGGGAATGAAAAATCCAGGAGGTTCTGGCTGCATGGTTTCTAGAAAAACTGAAGTTTTTCTTGAGATCAGGTGGATTTCCGGCCGTTGCTGTTTTACCTCAGGTTGTTTCTGCCTTTAACAACAATAAAAGCCATAAATGAAGCTAAGATTGTCTAAGAGTGGCTATTTTTATACTTACAAGCATGTCACTGATGCTCTGCAGTACCACTCATTTAGAGGATTATGTCATCACTAGAGGCAGTAAGACTCAGCATTCAGACCTCATGTTTTAGCATTTGACGTGATTGTGCCCTCTATCTCTACACAATAATAACTTACAATAACAGTTGTGACAGAGTTAAGGTTGTAAAAAAAAAAAAAAGAGAGATGAATGGCGTCAATGGCAAGAGTGTAAACAAAGTACTTAAGTGCTATTTTCAGAAACATCTTCCAAAATAAAACTTTTTGTAAACAGTGACAGCTCCAGGATCTTGGGCACTTAATAAAACTGAAGAATCAGCACGTGTCTTCATCCGCCACCCACTCCAATGGCCACTTCTTTCCACTGTAACACAAAGGAAGATGAGTTGAGATGTTAGTTAAGCAGAAATACTGTAGACACATTAAAACACACATTCAGACTAAGGTCGCTGTTTTGCAGTGGCTGCATTAAAGTATATTTTTATTACTGGATTTAAAAAAAAAAAAACAGATCAACTAGTCAACAAAAATGTATAAAACCACTAGGTGGATCCCTGCATTTTGAATGTGTACAGTTTGGTTTTTTGGTTAATGTAGGTGCCTAATCCATGTACCCAACTATTCAGTACCTGTTATATTTTGAGATCTTGCTATATGAGAGCTTTAATTTACTGCAATATGTCTGTGCAGATGTCTTCACTAATAGAAAATAAGTTAAGTGAGGTCCACATGTTATTATAACTGTAAATTTACCTACAACAGTACACTGTAAATTTCTAGGTTGTAGGATGAATAAAGGCGTATCTTATTATATAACTCAGAAATGTATATCACATACTGACACAATATGTGAACCTGTACACTAGACGTGACACAATTTTCCATTGTCATGGTTTAGCTGTCCGTTTACACGACAATGGCAACGGGCAAACGGGTTCCAGAGTGCAAACTTTTGAAAACTGCACCTTCTCTGCCGTCATGTACAGTAAAAACTGTAAATATGCTGTTCCTCTGAAAATGGAGACTTCAGGCGCATAGTTTAGTCTCGACCTCAATTCGTAGCCACATTTCAGTTCATACTTGGTGTTTTTTTTTTTTTTCCATTTGGGTGTGGGGGGGGGATAACAGAAAAAGAGATAATGGGTTCACTAACAACGTGGAAAAACATGGTAGATAGATTAAACTACTTTCCTGATAATTAACTGTGTAAATTAAATCAAATATTAATTCTAACACCAGGTTAAGTAAACAAGAACACACCAGTCAGAATTTAATTGGACCACTCATTTTAGTTTAATTAGTTTTGATGTTCTTCAAGAACAGCATAGTGTTCACATTCTTTGGTGAAGTTCTGCTCTCTGTTCAGGGAAGGTGTCAGTTTTTTTTGGTCTTCCTCTGCATCCATTCACTAAGACTGTGGCTTTATTCAGTTAAACCTCCTCAAAGTACATCAAAATAGAGCTAAGAAACTGATCTTTTAGTGGGATATATCAATATCATCCCTTTAAAAAAGTCCCAGTTGAAGATTGCTTCATTGAATCTTAATTATTGAAGTTATTCTTGAGCTCGTCTCTTTACTCTCAGGCAGTGGTCTGCACACCGGCGGTGTTTAATAGTTTGGCCTTGTGTCTGGCAGGCAGATTTCTTTAAAGCCCCGCAAACTAGTAAACTAGTATTTACTGGATTTAACTTAAATTCAATGAGTACGTGCGTAGCTAGTGAAGTACGAAGAGGCAAAGACAGGAGCTACTGTAGGCAGGTACTGGTTTATCACAGCCACCGTCTAAACACCAAATGAGAGATTATATTTTAGATTAATGGTGTTCCATCACCCAGGACACTTCTAGAGACTTGCAGAATCTGTATTGAAGTTGGCCTGACTCTTTTCATCTGGTGAGTTAGACTAAGCACCTCTTAAATGGCAACACAGTTCAAACAAACTTTGACTTGCATACAAAAAAACTCTTACTATAATTTATAATATTATGTGGGTACGCAGCTATGTGTAACCAATAAAAAGTCATACATACCAGAGTGTGCAGGCTGCCACTCCACTTGCTTCATTTTGTGGCCCTTAGTGAAAAAATAGAATTATGTGAAATCTTAGCTTAACAAAAATATATATAATTTTCTCTATTACTTATACGAGATCATGACTCAAATACAGAAAAACCACCCTCCCTTTTCATCTGGAGACCCTCAAGAGAATGATATGTTCAGCGATTCCCTTTTCTTTTTCCAATGGCAGTTCTTTTTATCGTTCAATTTTGCTGTGCATTTGACACCCAACCTTCCTAAACTGATGAGAACTGTGCTTTTTCTGTGCTCAACAGGTTAATCGGGCTCTCTCCACAAGAAAAACAAATAAATAAAAATAAAAAGCTTTCAAATAAAAGCCAAGCAAAACAGCATAACCCAATCAAAAAAAGCTTCCAGAAACTTAACCTGGAATTGTGTCATTGCAAACTGACTGTACTGTGTAGTGTTTGAGTAGAATTATATTAACCTTAATAACTTTGTATTTCGCAACCCTCTTCACTGGGTAAAAATCCTGGCTTCCCGTAACTGTGTGGGGACATTCTGAAAGAAAACAATATAAAATCCATAAAGCTTAATGCTATACTGTAATAATAATAATAATAATAATAATAATAAATAATAATTTATACTTTATTAATCCGACGAGGGAAAATTCTGTTTTCACACTCTGTTTAATGAACATAAACACACACAGGTGCTTTTGATTTTCTTTCTCTGTTGGACTTAGTTTGTCTGGACCTGCTGTCCTCTTGCTTGTGCTCGTGTACCTCATATCTAGCATTAAGTGTGAGTGAATGTGAGTGTGTGTGTTTGTGGTGTGGGTGTCTCTGTGATTAAATGTTTGGTATTATGTTTTGGATTTACCTTTTATTTTGATTTTGTATTATGATGATTAATTTATGTTTTGTAAGGACCCCCTTGAAAATGAGATGATACATCTCAAGGGACTATCCTTGAAATAAATGACAAAAAATTACAAAATATGAGTCGTGGTATTTTTTCTGCATATTGTAGAAACAAAAACCAAAAGATGCTGTAAAATCAGATCACACATTCAAAAAGAGAACACAGATGAAATTAAGCTCAATACTCATTCAACTGTAAATGTTTCATGTTAAAAATATATAAATAAATAAATAAATGGCACAAACCAAGCACTCAAACCAAATAGGCAGCCACCTAAAATGAAAATACAGCCTTCATGCTGTAGACTCAAAATGTTTTAACTGATTCCAATGTATGGCTTTACATATAGTACATGAACCTACCTTTTCTTTTCCGTGGCAACCTGGGAGCTGAATGGCCTGTGTCAAGGCTTTCATCTGTTAATTGCAGGAAAACATTTTAAATATAAAAAAATAATAATGTGCAAACTATGACATTTATATGAGGCAGATTCACACTAAATAAAGAATCCTACATACAATACATTTGAGTAAAGAAGCAGCTTTTTTAACTGGATCACAGTATAATGGTTTACTACAGTGGCAGCCATCAGGATTTTACCCTCCAAGCCGGTAGCCAGTCAGCAGGCAAAGAGAGACCTCCTCTTCGCATATATTCCACTGAAACCACGCCCATGTATTTAATTGCAGGGTGTCGCCAGGAGATGACGCTTCCCTCACAAGAACACATCAACCTACAGTATTATAGCTGAACTCTATAACGTGAACTCTATAAAGCATCATGGCGCGTGCACCATCAGCGGTGCAGCGCTCATGATCGGGCGCAGAAGCTGCTCAGTTATTGTATGAATTTCATTATAAAGTTGTATTTATCTTTGAGAGGGGGGGTTATCTGTGCATGGCTCAAACCTCTGTCACAGGTTGTGTGTCTGTATGTTTGCTCTTTATATTGTTGTACTCCAACACTTCTTCTTTCACCAGTGTTGGGAGAGGTTGAGGAAGAGCAGTCCAGTATTTACGTATTTGTATGTATGTCTGTTAAGAAATGCTGTTTTGTATGCTTGTGTATTGCTTTTCATTTGTGTTAGGATCCCCCTTATAAAAATAGATAATGGATTTTAAGGGGCTATCCTTTAATACATTCAAATGTATTAAATTAAGAAGTATGGCTTTACATACAGTACATGAACCTACCTTTCCTTTTACGTGGCAGCCTAGTACTGGGAGCTGAATGGCCTGTGTCGAGGCTTTCATCTGTCAAAGCAGGCAAACCACAGATGTGAATAAAACATCAACAATGACTTCACTCTATTAAATGTACAATATGTAGAATGTTATGACAATGTTTACATTAAAATGTATAAATCAATTAAAAATGTACTAAACCCATGTTATATATTTTTTCTTATGTAGCGGTTGTGTACTCTCTCTTGTGTTGTGTGATGAATCAGGCAAACACTTTTAACTTTTGGCACCAGCACGCTGTTTCACCTGATAACAACAGAAGCACATACGGTCTCTCACAGCCACTCTTCTAGTAATAAGCTCCAACATTGCTAAAATATAAGAACAAATAATTGAGCAACCTGTTAAGCAAGCTACACCACGGAGATCAGAAGTTACATTTTAGCTAGCAAAACACACGCGATGAGCCTAAATGACTCAAAAACATAGTAATATGATCACAGAAAAGTTTTACAATAATTTCGGAGCTTCTCTCAAACATGTGAAATGGAAAAATATTACTTTTATCAAGAAAAACAAACATATTTTATTGTATTTTAGCGGAGCTCATTTACACATATACTTACCACGGGGACAGCATGACAGTGCAGATTGGCAAAGATACACGGGCTGCACCGCTCAAGTCTGCAGGGGCACCAGCAGAGGGCGCTCATGTTACACAGAGTCCCAGTGGATACTCATTAGAATTAATTATAAACAGTATTTAAACAATAGAAATAGTCAAATAAAGACATTCTATGCCAAGTGATGGCAAGTGGACTCATTAACTCCATTACACTTACATCACCTCAAATATTTCCAACGGTGGTCAAAGACAGAGAAATCCGTAAATACACTCACAGTCATGAGGAGATTCCATTCTTAATATACAGAATATGCACCAATGACTCCCTATGCTTGTTTACACATTGAAACAACAAACAAAGAGTAATGATAAAGACAATCCCTATACATTTAAATGTACTTTTTTACATTATTATTTTATTTTGATAAATTTAATCAAATATCTATTTTTTTCTTCACATCTAGTTTTAGTTCTCAGTTTAATTTTAGTTTATTACATTACCCTTGGCCCAGACACACTAAATTTACATTTTCACTAACACAAATTGGATTAAAACCAACATTCATCTTCATATGGCTCCTTTTATACTTACCCTTTTCAGGGCACGCTGACTGATCCTCTTCTGGGGAATTAGGTTCTTTTCCCAGGTCTTGGCATTGGGGTTGGTTCTTCCCCCTCTGAGTGGCAGAGTCAGAAGTGGCAGCAGGATAAAGCGGGGCTGTTGACCCCTGGGTGTCTGAACTGGCCCTCTGTTCTGTAGGAGCAGATTCTGGAGGTCCAGTTGGGGCTGGTTCTGGTGCTATATCGGGTTGTGGGGTCCAGTCTTCAATTGAAAAGCAGTGAACCAGTTAGTTTATTTCTTTAAATGTACAGTATGTAAAATCCGCCACCAGGGGAAACAACAACAAAAACGGGCGAAACCTATCTGAGAGAGAGAATATGTTTACAGACGATGTGTCTGAGTATAATCTCCATGACGTTTTTATCACAGTGGCACATACAAGTAAATAAGGTTTTCCTTGGCAACGATAAACATTTTGGGTCTATCATGACAGCTGTCGCAACAAGACACGGTCCATTACGACTACAAAATTACGGATTTCTCTGGTTTTGTTAACTGTTGGAAATATTTGAGGTAATGTAAGTACTCAACAAAAAACAAAATAACAAAAAGCCTATACAACATAGGTTTAGTAAATTCATATTTATTTACATTACAATTTGACAGTTTTGCTGTAATTTTCTTCAGAAAGTTATATGAGCAAGCATAAATATTAACAATAGTGTAATACAGTTCATACACTAGCACACTGCAAATGTGTTAATAGGTTTGGATAGAAAATGATGTAAGAAGCACTAAAAAGAGAAACATACATCGAATGATCAAGTGTGACTGTTGAGCTACAGTACTTCTAACAAATAGCAGTGACTTAAACAGAAGAATGTCGCTGTTTGCGATAGTCTGGTGAATGTCTGCTAATTTACCAACGGTCACATTTTATGAATTAATCATGCTTTCGTGGCTTCAGTAGCCATTGACGCTGTCTTACCTTACAATGTTATGGCCAGTGTAATCGCCAAAGCAAACCACTGTTTTGGCTGTGTTAGCGTTAAACTTATCCCAATTCATTTCAACTAGGTGAAGTCTTAACACATTAATGAAAGTATGACTGCTCTGATAATCATAAGAGGGCAACCACAGACTTATCTGTGGCAAGGGAAAAAGACATCAAATGCAATACTTTTAAATATATAACAGAACACTCTCACCTTGAATTACAATATCATACAGCCCCTTCATTCTGTCAAGACATTGACTTGAGGTGTCTGATAGCTGGCAACGGGGTGCCAAAACCTCAGAGAGCCAGGTATCGCTTTTTTTTTTTGCAGGCCTGGATAAAAAAAACAGTGGCTCTAACTCCCAGGGCCTGCAATTTTTCAACCTAATGAAACAAGGACAAAAAACACACAATTATATTAAAATAGTAATATAGTGGAGAGACAGCAACATTTGGTATGTGTGCTGCAAGAAAACATTTAAAGCAATAACATACCAACATATAAGCCTCGTCCAAAACATGACACGTGGTCCGGTTCTTCTGATGGGTATAGACCCAGCTCTCTCTTTTCTCATCAAATTTTTGCAGTTTTTTTTTAAGCCTGAGCTTATAAGGCTGTACTGCCTGGCATGACCTGCAAATTTTGGAGGCAACATTAAGTGTTGTGTGGCAGACCCCACACTTTCTTTCGGTTGAGCCCTGGCCTGGCATTTCTATCAGACATACAGTGAGAGAGAGCAAGAGATAGACACATACAGACAATGAGATTATGTAAAAAAAAAAATGTTTAAACTTTATTAAAAAAAAGCAAAACTTACTAGAAAATTGCAAGGCTTCAGGAAGATCAACCAAGGGGAGAGATAGATCAAGAGGAGAAATACTTAGAGAGCAAGAGACAGAGAGAGCGAGAGAGAGAGAGAGAGTGTGTTTATGTAAATATGGGTGATTGAGTGATAAGTAAGAGTGAAAATGGATGAGTGTGTGTGGGAGTAAATATGTTTGTTTCTGAGGGTATATGTGTAAATGTGTGTCTATGTGTGGTGCTGTAGCAGCGGGTGTAATGGCTCTTAAAAGAGCCGTTGGTTTGAGGTAATAAAGTTTGGACAGGTGATCAGGGCAGACAGGGATGGACTAGGTCTGTAGGACAAGAAGAACACAAAAAAAGGTTATTTCATCCACAGCAAAATTTCCAGGATTTCTCAAATTATAAAATCCTGAGCTGTAACGTCACTGGGTGCAAACAGTTAACTGGAGACTTTCAGCCCGTCTGTTGGTGTCCTGCTCACAACGGACGCTGAAACGGATAGAGCCTCTTTTGTTAAATCATTCATTTACAGACGTATCTAAAGAGTGCATTTTGAGGCATTTGCGTGGAAACCTTTCGTGTTTATCAGCTGCGGTTACCGCGAAGAGCACGGCCGCATCAGGCTGTAAGCCATCAGATGACACGGTCACTGGTCACACCGTAACACCGCAAGTTAACACGATCACTGTTTACATAGAAACAGGTCCAAATACTGATCTATCGAGTACTGGGGGATATACTGCTTCAACCTTAGCTAGATATAATATTAGCCGAAGTTCATCAGGTTTAATTTGAGAAAACGTTAATGTAGAGAGAGTCTTTAAACTAGCTGGACAGCTAAATGCATTTTCATTACCGTTACTACTTCAATGTTAATAACCTTGACTCTCTACCACCACACGACATGTATTTAGCATGAAAAACAGTCAAAGGCAACCTCAAATATTTAAAATTTAGGTTAATAATAAGTTAATAATAAATATTAATCGCGGGTAATTACTCTTACCTGACAGGAAGGAGGTTTGGATTACACTGAAACGCTTCTCTTTTGTCCGCGATGGATGTTGACATTGAGTAAATTATCGCCCCCTGCTGGTACGGCACAGATCACAGGCGTGTACATTTGACGCTGAAGACAGGCAATGCGTGACACTGACACGCATCCTCTAGTGGACCAACGTGTCTATTACACGCTTTGGCACGATACCGGGTTGTCCTCCTACAATAACAGCAGCCTGTTGTGCATAACACTGGCCTCCTGGATTAACACGTTAAATTCAGACACCGTCACAATCACCGCAATTTTTGCCAGGTTTGGTAAATCGCAATATGTGTACTAACTTAACTTGTTTGCATTTTCTCCTCCCAGTATTTTGCACGTTAGGTCAGAAACGCCCCATATTGCATATTCATTAAGGCAAATGTACTAAATGGACAATGCGTGTTGTTTTGCTCATTTGAAAGATGCAATTCTCACTGCACGCCGTTAGTAGATCAGATAGCTTTTTTTTTTTGCTGGTGGTATCAAGTTTGCACACGTTTTAAGACACGCAAACCTTTAGTAAATCTGGCCCTTTACTTGGGAGTTTAGTAAATCTGGCCCTTAGAGTTTAACAAGTGGCAAAATGAATGATGAAGGAAAGCACATTTGGCAGAATTAAAAACAATCCACGAGTGGTGGACCTCTTCTGTTGTACATGCCAGCAGCCTACAGTTTAGTCCATAAATGTATTGGCACCACTCGGTTGCAGGACAAAATTTACCACATTCGTGTTTTGTGTACTTGCATAACTTTTTCTCTGAAGACAGTAATTAGATCGTTCTCTAAAGCATGTGTTAACTAAATTCACTGTTCCAGATAAACACGCTCAGCTAGACGATTTTGACTAAGCTAAAAGTAATCCAAAAGTATTTAGAGTACATTACTTTACTTGAGTAATCCAATGGAATACATTGCAGATGACATTTTAGGACATGTAATCAGTAATCTGTCGGGGAATACATTTTAAAAGTAACCCTCCCAACACTGTTGACCCGTAGCACCACAGATGTCACTTTTTTGTTGAGACCTTCAGAATTGACTTAAACGGTAAACAATAGTTTTGTGTGTTTATAAAGCCACGTAATTAAACGACTGCATTATGTTTTCTGTTCGTCAGTATGTTGTTCTCCACTCTTTTGTGAATGTTGTCATTCCATTAGACTACACAAAGCATTGATATAAAGACAAATATTCTCATTATAACGTCGTGTAGCGGACTCTGTTGCTTTTGTCATTCTTCCGCGTTGTTTTATTAAGTCTAACAGGGATAATCTCCCGCATGTGAGGACCATATGTGAACAGCTAGGTCAGGAGACTCTCCAGAGCTGTCCTCCTGAAATTATCTCGATGTGAAAACATCAATAAGTTCCAAAATGTGTTTGCAGAAACTGCTGTTGATTTTCAAGCATTTGACAGTAGGCCTATTTCTAAGTTACTGTTTATTTCTAAACAAACTTATAATTAATAAGTAGACACAAGTAGACTACAGTGTGCGTTAGTCTAACTGGCAGACACCAGTTGTAGGCAATATAGGCCTATATAACAACTTTATCCTCCGGTAAGGGCTTTACTCCACTTCTTATTTGTTATCAATGTTGTTCAATATATTTTTAATTGGATGTCTGGCAACATCTCTTCGATATTTTGGTAAGCTACATTAAAGCTGTGTAAGTCACATTTACTCATCAGCTAACTGCAAGGGAATTTAAATACAACGTCTGCAGTGTAAAACCAAGTC